ACCCGCGGCCTTCGGTGTAAGCCTCACTATCTGAAATTATTTTATTTGGTTTTACTCGTGTTTCCTCCTAGAGCTCCTGGAAGTAAGGATCTTATCACTCTTGCTCACAGCGGATTCCTTAACGCCTAGAATCGGTTGACCGATCGAAACCTCCAATGGACTTTTTTTTTCTTTAAGGAAGAAATGGTTTGGGGCTGGCAGGTGGCATGGTGGTTAAGGGCTCTGGACTCCCACATGGGAGACTGAGGTTCAGGTCCCTGACTTGGTGGCTTGCTTTCTCACTCTCTCTGTCCCTCTACAGGCAAATGAAAATAAAAAAATAAAATAAAGTTCAATAAAAATGTATTATGTAGGTATGTATGTATGCATTTTAGAGGTTTTTGCTATAGGGCACGTGCGCTCGGCAGAAAGACAGAGACAGAGAGACAGAAAGCCAGAAATCACCTCCCAGGGGGGATGGCCACACTGCAATCCCTTCTCCTCCCTTCTCCTCTTGGGATCTTGGGCACCCACGCACACACACCTGTCATGAGTTTAAGCTACCGGGTCTGGGACTCGTCCAGTGACATAGCCATTACTCCAACTGCTGGTCCCTAAAAAAAAATTTTTTTAAGAGGTTTTTGCTATAGGGCGTGTGCACTCGCCAGAAAGACAGAGAGACAGAGAGACAGAAAGTGAGAAATCACCTGGGGGTCAGGGGGAGGTGACCATGCCACAATCCCTTCTCCTTCATGCTCCTCTCAGGAATTTGGGCATGTACGCACATGAGTCCGGTGAGAGTTCTGAGTGGAACTGGAACCAGAGTCAACCATGTGGGAGTCCAGCCGCTTAGCCACCATGCCACACGCTGGCCCCATAACTCGTTTATTAATATATGGGGCCCATGGGTGCTAGTACCGAAGATACTCAGCTATGAATGTGTTGCAATGTTTTTAACAATGGGCTTGTATCTGGAGTATAGAAAGAATACCTGCAAATCCATAAGAAAAAACTGCGTGACCCAATAGAAAAGTGGGTAAGAGACTGCATGACTTTAGATTTTTGCAGTAGGGTGCTTGCACTCTCCAGAGAGAGAGAGAGGCCACACCGCAATCTCCTCTCTTCCATCTTCTCCCAGGGTCTTGGGCACACATGCACACATGCCCAGCATGGCTTCCAGACCACGAGGTCTGGGGTTCTAACTGCACAGTTGACCATGTGGGATCCAGTGTCTTAGCCACCATGCCACCTGCTGGCCCCTGTCTTAGCCATCGTTAAATGTACAGTTCAGTGATATTAAATATATTCTCAACGTCGTACAACCATCACCACCCTTTACCTGCATAACTCTTTTCATCTTGTAAAATTGAACTCTAGGGGCCGGCAGGTGGCGTTGTGGTTAAGGATGTAGGACTCCCACATGGCTGACCATGGTTCAAATCCAGGACCTGCCGGATTGCTTTCTCACTTTCTCTCTCTCTCTCGCTCTGCCTCTCTCTGGTCAAATAAATAAATAAATAAAGTCAAATAAAATAATTCTTAAAAAAAAAAAAACCCTGAACTCTGTACCCATTAAATAATAACTTCTCACTTTGGAGTGTTTTATTTCCTGAGCTGCGTGTTGATTACACAGGTGTAAAAATGTGTTAACCTTGGGGCCAGCTGATGGCGTAGCAGTTATGTTGTTGGACTCCCACATGGCTGATCGTGCTTCAGGTTCTGGACTTGGTGGCTTAAAAATCACGCTGGGCTCTTGTGTGTATGTGCCCAAGATTGTGGGAGAAGAATGGAGGAGAAAGGATTATGGCGTGGCCATCCCATCTAAGGGTGATTTCTTGCATTCGTCTCTGTCTCTCCCTTCAGCAAGAGTACATACCCTAAGGCAAAAACCTCTTAAAAAATGTGTTAACCTGTGCACTTGAGATGTATGCCCCTTCTTCTGAAAACATTTTATGTGTCAATAAAATAGTTTTCATAAGAAGAGAAAAAAAGGGGGCCAGCAGGTGGTGTGGTGGTTGAGGGCTGAGGTTCGAGTCCAGGAACTGGCGGCTTGCTCTCTCATTTGCTCTCTTTCTCTCACTCTGTCCCTCTCTGATCAAATTAAATAAATAAATAACGTTAAATTTAAAAAGTTATTTAAAATAAAAAAGAAAAGCTTTATGGCTAGGACAGAGGCAGTGTGTACTCCCGGGTAGCGTTCTTTCCAGTGGGAAGGCAGACAGAATAAGTGGCTGCACCCTGAAATATGCGCTGGGAGGGAAATGAACAGGGTGCCGAGAGCACGGCCATGGTTTACATGCAGCACTTGTGTGTTCCAGGGGTGAAATGTCTCGCTTTGCACGGCTGGTCCACGTGGGAAGGTTCCCGGTTCGAACCTAGAGACCTTTCTGAGTATGCTGGGCACATGTGTGCCCATGACCTGGGGCTGGCTGAGGTTTGGGGTGGATTCTGGGTACTGTTTCTCCGTGTCTCTCTGACTCATGAAAATAAATGAATAGGCGTGGGGACCAGCAGGTGGCGTGGTGGTTAAGGCACTAAACACTCCCACATGGCTGACCATGGTTCCAGTCCTGGACTTGATGGCTTGCTTTCTCATTCCCCAACCCCCCCGCTACTCTGTGTATGTCTCTTTCTCTGGTCAAATTAAAATAAATGAATACATTTTTAAAAAATTTTAAAAAGAAAAGAAATAAATAGGCTTAAAATAAATGTAAGATTCAGCATTCAAGAGAGGCCTCACTCAGAAGCTGACATCTAAGCTGATACTGAAAGGACGAGACAGCACCAGCCATGCCAAGCTATCAGGGAAGGAGATTCCAGGAGAGTTTGTCCTGTATTAGGGAATGGGGGAAGCCCAGGTGGCTGGAGCAGGTGAGCGGAAAAGAGGTGAGGCTGGAGTTAGGGCTACGGGAAGGAGTCAGGAGTGTTCTCCTCAGCGGACAAGTGAACTAATCAAAGGCTTTTTGTTCTCATTTGTAAAATATCACTCAGGGCTCTTTTTTGGAGAGATTTTTTGCTCTATGGCCTGTGCACTCGCTGGAGACACAGGGAGTTACAGAGAGACAGAAAGTGAGAAATCACCCCCAGGGGGATGGCCACACGCAGTCCCTTCTCCCTTCTCCTCTCAGGATTTTGGGCATGCACGCACACGTGCCAGGTGTGTTTCAAGCCACTAGGACTGGAACCCGAGCTGTGGTTGGCCAGGTGGGAATCCAGTGCCGTAACCATTACGCCACCTGCTGGCTCCTCTCTGGTAAATTCGGAGTGTGGAATTGCAGGCGAGCAGGAAGGTGGAGTGTGGGGCTCTGTATTGCCATAGTCTAGAAGGAGGTAAGGGGGACCGAAGGCTGTGCTGGTGCAGATGGAGAGGGCCGAGGGGTGTGGGGTGCAGAACTCACAAGATGTGCAGATGAACTGCTTGAGGAATCAGTGATGTCTCAGATTTCTGGTTCCGGTATCTGGGTGATGACGATGCCATTCATTGAGATGAGGACTAAATGAGTCTATGGGACAAGGTTGGGGAGCTGAGTCCTGCGGGGATCTGGCAAGGACCCCAAGCATTAGTCACAGATTCAGTCTTTGTCCACCCCACCCCACTCCAGCTGTCCAATAGCCCATCTTTCTACCTCTGCAGACCTGTGGAAGGTTTCCAGGAGCCAGGCTGCTCCAGGGAGCTTAGGAAGTCCCTAGAGGCAAGCTGGGGCTGATGAGCAGTTTGAGGACCAGGGCCAGGGAGGGCAGCCTTAGTTTCCCCAGTCTGTGCAGAGAGGAGCCTCCCTCTTGCCAGAGCAATCAAAGGCAGCCCCCAACCTCTCCACCCCTTGCCGCTAACGAAGTTTAGTGACGACTTGAATGGCTTCCACACTTGACAGTTTCAGCTCTGCGACGTTTTGGCCTTTGGCCTTGACCTCCTGGTCACATGCTCAGCACAGATGTTTCTAGCTCCTGGAGCATGGCCTGGCGGAGGAGGGCACGTCCAGTGGGGGTGGGCGCGCAGTGGTATCTCTTTTTCCAGAGCCCAAATATACTAGTGGGAGAAGGCTGGATTCTCACCCTGGGCCCAAGTCAAGGCCGGGTGACTGGGGCAAATGGCACCTCCTGCATGCCATGGGGCTGGTGTGGGGGTGGGCGTGGCTGGGCTGAAGCTGGGCAGCCACT